ATTTTCGTCCAATCTCCATTTTGCCATTTATTTCCAAGATATTGGAAAAAATTGTGTTTTTACAGCTCCAGACCTTCCTGACTGACAATCATATTCTTGAGAAGTTTCAGTCTGTGTTTATATCACTGCACAGCACAGAAACCGCTCTTGTAAGAGTTCTTAATGATATTTATATGGCAACAGATTCGGGGGACTCTGTCATTTTAGTAATGTTAGACCTGTCCTCTGCTTTTGATACTGTCGATCATGAAGTCCTTATCTCTCGGCTGGAGTGTTGCGTTGGGCTGGGGGGGCTGTTTTAAGTTGGTTTAAATCTTTTCTAACCAATAGACATTTCTCTGTATAAAATAGGACATTTCTCTTCTTCTCTTCGCAATCTATCCTGTGGTGTGCCTCAAGGCTCTATTTTAGCTCCTGTCCTTTTCTCTCACTATCTTCTCCTTTTGGGTTCCATTTTTAGGAAACATAATGTCTAATTTCATTGCTATGCCGATGATATGCAAATTTATATGCCTGTGTCTAGGAAAAATAAGAGTGCTCTAGGCAACCTAACAGCATTTCTTGAGGATGTGAATGCTTGGCTTGCCAAGAATTTTCTTTTTCTGAACTCAGACAAAACAGAAGTCATTGTTTTTGACCCCTCAGAATTCAGGCAAAGAAATCACCTTGACCTTGAATCTTTAAATCAATTCATCTCTCCCCAAGTACGGAATCTAGGTGTGATGGTAGATAGTTGCCTCAAATTTGATAAGCAGATTAGCGCGGTCATTGGGTCCAGCTTTTTCTTTCTTCGTTCTCTATCGAAAATCAAATCCTTTCTTCCTAAGCTCTCCTTGGAGATTGCTATCCATGCTCTTATTACCTCTCGCCTGGATTATTGCAGTTCCCTCTATTTCGGCATATCTAAGTCCCAAACGGCACGTTTACAGGTCGTTTAAAATGCTGCGGCGCGATTCCTGAAGGGAAAGAGGAAATTTGATCACACTACCTCCCCTTCTGAGATGCCTTCACTGGCTTCCGATTAATTTTAGAATTTAGTTTAAAACTTAATTACTGGTATATAAATCATTAAATGATTTAGCACCCTCTTATTTGTCCGATCTACTTCACCCCTACTCTCCCACCAGAGGCCTTAGATCCAAAGATAAACTCCTCCTTTAGATACCCAAAACCCGGCTAAAATCGAGGGGTAACCGAGCCTTTGAAATGGCCGGCCCGACACTGTGGAACAAGCTCCCACTCTATATTTGATCAGTTTCCACTTTGTCTGAGTCATGTCTCAAAACCTATTTATTCTCTGTTGCTTTTAGTTTATAAGAGTGTTCTGCTTTAACTGTTTTGTTAGTATTAGTGTACTTTATAAGAGTGTTCTATTTTAACTGTTTTGCTGATATTTAGTATACTTATATATATATATATTTTAAATTTAAAGCACTTTGGTCGGCCTGTGGCTGTTTTTGAATGTGCTTTATAAATAGGACGGAACCAGCGGAGACCCAGGAGACGTAGGAGAGCTGGATAGAACCAGCGTAGACTCCAGAGACGTAGGGGACAATGGAGGTTCAGGGGAACTAGGAACAACTAGGAACAACCTCTCCAAAACAGTCTATTATATCCATTTACATTTACATTTACATTTAGTCATTTAGCAGACGCTTTTATCCAAAGCGACTTACAAATGAGGACAATAAAAGCAGCAAAACTAACAAAACTCTCGGTTAGCCTAACGCAGTATATGTAGCAAGGTGTGTATATATATATATATATTATAAACACACACAAAGAAAAACAAGTATATAGAATAGAAAATAATTTTATTAATTAAGAATGTGGCAAAGTCGTCAGCTGTTAGAGTTGATGAAGGAGGGGGAGGAGGAGGACAAAGGAGAGAGGAAAATGTTTTAAAGAGCATGCGAGAGTTAGGCGAATTGTTAATTTTGTTGAGATAGTATGTCCTTTTAGCATATCCATTTGAAAAATGTCCAAAAGTTCATCATAATATTGTCCAGAGGCCAACTGCAGCTCACCCTCAGTGGTGGGAGTGTGGGCGGGGCTTCCCTCCAAGCCCTCGATCTCCACAAGGACTCCCACCGCTAAACACGGTGATGTCTGCTTACACATCTGGTCAGTACCGTCACCGAGCTCGGACTCCGGGGCGATGTTCAGCTCTGTCGCTCTTTCCAGCGTGCATCAGCGTGGTGATTGCTGACTGGGCTCTGGATCTGGAGTGGGGCTGGAGTTGTCCTCGGCGAGGCAGACGGAGAGAAATAGTCCATTATTCTCCAGCACCCACTCCACACAAGCGGCGAAATTCTCCTTTGGACTGTCCGCTGGCAGGCATGCCTTACACCGCTTGCTCAGGCTGGTGATGTAGAAAACACAGAGCGAGCGGTCCGGGAAGTGAGTAAGGCACACCAGATCGATAAAGTCCCTGGTGTGGTCTGCCAGCGGATGGTCCTGCTGCTCCAGGCAAAGCAGCTGGACTGCGGGAAGCTCCATAGTGGGAGAGGAACGGAATAAACAAAAACAAACAGAAATAAAAACACAGCTAAATTTTACTAAATCTGTATGTCCGCTATTCTGTAACCTGTGAGCTGGCTAGGAATGAAGCGCACGACGAAGGAACAGAGTCAACAGGGTTTTTAATGATGAATCCAGGAGTAAATCCAACATTCACCAACACAAATGCAAATCAACATCAATACCGGAACTAAGGAGCAAGGGCAAAACACAGGGCTTAAATAATAGTTTAGACAAATGAGATTATTAATAAACATAGGTGGAACCGAATTAACTAATCAGGGCAACTCAGGAAAGCTAAGACAAAAAACACGAGATCAGGAACACAAACAAAAGTCCAGAACCGTGACAGTGTGTGTGTATGGTACTGTATATATATATATATATATATCAGTAGGTCGTCAGTAGGTCACGCATGCACTGATAGCGCTGAAGTAAACTTTCTCTCAAAATAACCTGCTCCGGAGTAGGTTATGTTTCAGGGTTAAAGTTGTTATGGCTACTTACATACACTGAAAGTTACCTCCGTTTTTGGAACCGAAAGCTGAGTTTATCCGCTTACTTACCCTTGAACATACCCAGGTATGTCTCTCAACCTGCTTTCTGGGATTACAGATAGCCTGGGATTACACAAAATTTGTATTTTAAAGAGAACCAGTTCGAAGGAAGAATAATTTGCTTTTTGGGTTAAAATAATTTCTTAATATGAAATTCGAATGGTATTAAAATTAGAGATTAGACTGTCCAAAAATTGACATCTACACGCTATTACACACTATATACACATAGACACACAATGCTGTTGTTGTTAACATTAACAATTTGAGAACAAAGTATAACAATAATAATTATTGTTATTATATATTATATAGCATGGTTTGTGATATGAGCTAACCGATCGTTAGATTTAATCACCATTGGTAGCGCGATTTATTGTAATGCTTTTTTTTCTCTCACTTGGTCAGAACAAATGTGGCAGACTTGTTACTTGTTCAGATGACAATATCCAGTGAAAGTTCTTATTTGGGTCATATATTCCAAGACGTAGGCTAGAATCTGTGATTCCTAAGTACAGTATCCACACCGCGGTGACTGACAGCCACACATACTCCTCAAAATATTAGATTCATCCACGCTGGTGCTAGGCTTGTCGCAATAATCAATATATCGACTTATCACGCAATATATGTACATGACCTCAATCATTTTTGGTGACGCAATATATCGCCCTTTATATTTACTTAAACATTAATGTCACCATGTTTTGTACATTCCACTTGTGCCGTCTTTTGCAGCTTCTCGTACATAATGTGGTGTAGTCATGAGGTGCTA